CCTCCGGAACAAGAGTATGTTATATAAAAGGGAATTGCGACCCATTGAAGATATACCTGGAAGTAAAGACTGGCTGACGTATACAATGTTCATATTTTAAAGTTCTGAGAGAAATAAAAACGTGTTACTATTGAAAGAAAAGTGCTTTCTAAATTGTAAATCCCTGTGGAACGTGTACATGTGGCATATAGCACTTTGGGAGGCCGAGGCAGGTGGATCACTTGAGGTCAGTAGTTTGAGACCAGCCGGCCCAACATAGTGAAACCCTATCTTTACTAAAAATCAAAAAATTAGCCGGACATGGTGGCACATGCCTGTAATCCCAACTACTCGGGAGGCTGAGGCATGAGAGTCACTTGAACCTGGGAGGTAGAGGTTGCAGTGAGCTGAAATGGCACCGCTGCACTCCAGCCTGGGTGACAGAGTGGGACTGTCTCAAAAAAAAAAAATATCAGATCTTATGAGAACTCCCTCACTATCATGAGAACAGCATGAGGGAAACCAATCACCTCCCACAATGTCCTGCCCCTAACCTGTGGGCAATTCTGAGTGTCCCTCCTTGGGTAGTTTGGTTTATTGGGGAAAAGAAAGGGCAGATGACTCCACACATCTGTAGACCGTAACATGCAAGTACACTTTTTTTTTTTGAGACAGAGTCTTGCACTGTCGCTCAGGCTGGAGTGCAGCGGCACGATCTTGGCTCACTGCAACCTCTGTCTCCTGGGTTCAAGCGATTCTCCTGCCTCAGACTCCAAAGTAGCTGGGATTATAGGCACATGCCACCATGCCTGGCTAATTTTTTGTATTTTTAGTAGAGACAGGGTTTCACCATGTTGGCCAGGCTGGTCTCGAACTCCTGACTTTAGGTGATCCGCTTGCCTCGGCCTCCCGAAGTGCTGGGATTGCAGGCATGAGCCACTGTGCCTGGCTCTTTTACCCTTTTTAATGTGGCCACTAAAAAAATATAAAATTACACATATGGCTCATGTTATATCCCAGAACTTCTGGGCCTCTAATCCTAGTCCTTTCTCCCCAACAACCTACTCCACCAGAACCAGTGGCCACAGCTTTTTTCCTTTAGTTTTTAGTCCACCCTGGGGAGGAGAAGCAGGGGGAGCTGGGCAGAGGTGAGGACAAACACTGGAAATGTCGCCCCACCCCCATGATCCACTACCCTGGGCATACAGACCCACTAAGTCTTTCTGCTCAGGTTAGAGGCCTTGGGCCAGGGGCTTCTGTCTCTCTGATGAAGAGCCACGGGGATTTACTCGACATCTAATGACCCAGTGATCCAGGCTTTAATAAGTACTTTGATGTAACCAAAATTGGCCATTAATGAGAGGTCTTATATTGTAGCCCCTTCTTAAATGCCCGCCATATGTGCTGTGTTACATGAACCAGGAAGAGGAGAATGCAGAGGAGAGGGATGGTCCTCTTTCTTGTCTCTGCTTCCCTCTTCCATGAGAGCATGAAAACCAACTCTTTCCACATGGGGAGGAATATAGAACCATCTGGTGTGGAGAAAAGGGGATATGAAGCTAATCTTTAGCAGAGCCATAGAATCAAAGAGGGTCATTAGCTATTTGGGAGCTTAGAGACAATGGATCCCAATGGTTTCAGATAGGTTTATAGTATTGCCTCCAGGGTCACTGTGAGGAGGGGAAGGGGGTCAGAAGGTGAATCAAAGAGGGTCATTAGCTATTTGGGAGCTTAGAGACAATGGATCCCAATGGTTTCAGATAGGTTTATAGTATTGCCTCCAGGGTCACTGTGAGGAGGGGAAGGGGGTCAGAAGGACAGCACCTGATTCTCCATGTCCTTTTCAGCCTGGTTTGGAGTAAGATTTTGTTTAAATAAGAGGCTTGAAAATCACGGAACTAGCCCATAAATCATGTGTTGCAGAAACAGAGTTTTGGAAAGATGGTGGCTTAGGCCCAAGGTGATACATTAGTGAGTGGCAGCCTGGGGGACTTGAGTCCGTCTCTTTTCAAATTAACTCTATTAAGCATATAGTTTGGTACAATTTTTTTTTTTTTTTTAGGTGGAGTCTTGCTCCTCCACACAAGCTGGAGTGCAGTGGCATAATCTTGGCTCACTGCAGCCTCCTTGCCTCATGGTTTTAAGCGATTCTCCTGCCTCAGCCTCCCTAGCAGGTGGGATTACAGGCATGGGCTACCACGCCCAGCTAATTTTTGCATTTTTAGTAGAGACGGGTTTTACCATGTTGGCTGGTCTCGAACTCCTGACCTCTAGTGATCCGCCTGTCTTGGCCTCCCAAAGTGCTGGGATTACAGGCGTGAGCCACCACGCCCAGCCAGTTTGATGAGTTTTGACAAATGTATACATCTTTGTAACCACCACCCCAATTAAGATGTACATTTTTGTCACTCCAGAAAGTTCTCTCATGCCACTTTGCAGTTTTCCATGCCCTGCCCCAGGCTGCCAGTGATTTCATTTCCATCACGGGAGATGGCTTTTGTTATTAAACCCACCTCCTAACTAGCAGTTGGTATGCTGACCATGCCTCCCACTCTCTGGCTCACTCTGTGTTTACAGGTGTTCTGATGTGGACAAGGGAGGACGCTTGTTACATGTTTCTAGGAGCAATGGCAGGAATGAGACTGGTTCTGGCTTATGGGAACCCAAGTTCCTTGAAGGCCAGAGCTATTCTCTATATTCTGTTTCCACACTACCTAGTACAATGCCTGGCACATATGAAGCTCTTGGTGAGGGTGGAAAAGTAATGTAGAAGGGCGGGTGTGCAGAGGGCTGGAAAGATGTGCGGGGGAGGTCCAGGGACACTTCCTGGAGCTACTACTTAGAGATGAGTTACATAAGGTTGGGAATTGGGGCGCTGTGGGGCAGAGGCAGATGTTTCTCTGAGGGTCTAGAGTTCATTCGTTCCATGTGTATTTATTGAGCTGGTGATGTTTCACTGGGAGGCCTCAGGGATGTCAGAGTCTTGGGTGGTGGGTTGATGGTAGGGAGCTGCTGGATGGTCCAGAAAGGTAGAGCTTTCAAGAGCCTGGGCTGCAGATGAGAGGAGGAGGGAAATGGAAACTCTGAGGGATAGACAGGAAAGGGTAGAGTGTGTTTTAAGAGAACCAGGCTACACTGCAGGCCATTTCCCCAAAATGACCTGTAGATGGTACTTCGGATAAACAGTTTTTGTTTTGGTTTTTGAAACAAGGTCTCACTGTATCCCCCAGGTTGGAGTGCAATGGCACAATCTAGGCTCACTGCAACCTCCACCTCCTGGGTTCAAGTGATTCTCATGTCTCAGCCTCATGAGTAGCTGGGATTGCAGGTACACACCACCACAGGCAGCTAATTTTTATATTTTTAGTAGAGACGGAGTTTTGCCATGTGCCAGGCTAGTCTTGAACTTCTGACCTCAAATGATACACCTGCCTCGGGCTCCCAAAGTGCTGGGATTACAGGCTTGAGCCAACACACCCGGTGATAAACAGTTTTTAATAGTGTTTAATATGTGATAGAAAAATATAACTTGTATGTTAAGTCTGAATTTCTAGATTCTTTAGGACCAGGCTAAAGTGTATATTTGGGTTTGTTTTGGTCTTTAGAGACAAAGTCTCACTCTGTCATTCAGGTTAGAGTTCAGTGGTGCCTTCGTAGCTCAATGCAGCCCCTAATTCCTGGACTCAAGCAATCCTCCTGCCTCAGCCTTCTGAGTAGCTGGGATTACAGGCACATAACACAGTGCACAGCTGATTTTTAAAATTTTTTTTGTAGAAATGGGGTCTTGGCATGTTGCCCAGACTGATCTCATATTCCTGGCTTCAAGCAATCCTCTTGCCTCACTCTCCCAAAATGTTGGGATTATAGGCATGAGCCACTGCGCCCACCTAAAGTGTGTATTTGAATTTGTGTCAAATTAAAAATGTTGAGGAAGAAATAGAAAAGTGGCTTGCATATGTGATAAAAAGACTGAAAGTTTGCTAATGACTAAAGTTTGGTGAAGATTACTATGGGCAAATGGTGAAGGGGAAGATGACAGGGTAGTTTCAGGCACAAGACTTCCTCCACAACAGAATAGGGGCTCCACCGGATGGAGAGGGAGGGAGGGGAGTGGTGGGGGGACCCTGAGCAAAAGCAACTGTGAGGGTTGTAGAGCACTGGTTCTCAGACTGGCCAGGCAGCGGAGTCACCTAGAGGTCTTTCTGAAGCATGGAGACAGCCTTACCCCTGGAGTCTCTGATGCAGGTCTGAGGCCCAGGAACTGGCATTTATCACCAGTTCCCAGCTGATGCCGGTACTGTTGGTCCAGGACGACACAGAACCGCTGATGCAGAGGTGTCAGTGGGTGCGAGGTTTGTGCCCAGTGGTGAGTGTGGATACAGGGAAGTGGAGGGGCCGTGTGGACAGGGAGACACCCAAGCAGAAAGGTGGGATTGGGCCTTGCCCTGCAGGGCGACAGTGCCTGGTGCTGTGCTCACGGTGGACGCCGAGGTGGGCGGGGCCCCAGGAAGGCAGTGGCCCTGGGCCGGCAGCTGGAGCTGGTCCTCCACAATTAGGGGGGCTGATTGCCTGGGGGCACACACCTGCAGCGTAGTGCTAAAGGAGAAAAAGGGAAATAAATCTAGACCCTCTGAGAGTGCTCCAAGGAGGCTGCCTACTCTAGTTTTTCTGCCATTTTGATTAGCTCTGAGAGAAGGGAGATCAACTTCTACTGAGAACTCACTGTCTTAGGCATTTATATGCCTTATTGCATTTAATCGTCATAATCCTGTGATGTTGATATCACTGATCCATTTTAAGGATAAGGGAACTAAGGCCCTGAGAAGTGAGGATTTTGCTCATTGTTATCTAGGTAGACCTAGGATGCAATCATCCTAGTGGCTGACTTGTCTGATTAAACCTTCCTGAGGTTTCCCCCACCCCCTATATTATCATTTGAATGTGTAATCAGTAGAAAATCAATATGTAATCAGTATAATCCATTGTTAAAGAGCTACTTTACATTCTTTTTTCATGCTAAGTCTTAGAGATTCAGTATGTATTTACACCTACAACCCATCTGAATTCGGATGAGTCACATTTGAAGTGCTCCATAGCCCCATGCCCGCTATCCTGTGGGACAAGAGCTGCCCGCGGGGATGAGAACGTCCAGCCACACGTGCCTGTAATAACCACGTCTACCACTAGATGGCACAGGTGAGCTTCCCTGGTTCAATGCGTCAGGCGTTAAGAGATGGGGTGAGTGGGGGCTTACATTTCCCTTTGATTTATTTGTTTAAATTTTAACCAGAAGCAAGCTTGAAAGATTACAAGCCATTACATACTTACTCTAGAAAAATCGCTGGGTGTGTAGTCCCAGCTATTCGGGAGGCTTAGGCAGGAGAATTGCTGGAACCCAGGAGGCGGAGGTTGCGGTTAGCTGAGATCGCGCCATTGCACTCCAGCCTGGGTAACAAGAGCGAAACTCCGTCTTTAAAAAAAAAAAACTTATTGGTAACTGTAGTAATTATTTAGAACTCAGGCAAACCAAGGATTGTTACCGTTTTTTTTTTTTTTTTTTTTTTTTTGGATGAGTATTTTCTCACTGGCATTGCAGGGTATTGTGTGTGATAAGGAGATCAAACTGTTAATCATTTAAAAAATTCTTCATAGACAAATGACTCTTTTCATTAAAATTTTTTTTTCTCTCTCTCTCTCTTTCTCTTTCTTTCTTTTCTTTCCTTTCTTCTTAAAAAGCCTCCAGTGGGGCCGGGCGTGGTGGCTCAAGCCTGTAATCCCAGCACTTTGGGAGGCCGAGGCGGGTGGATCACGAGGTCAAGAGATCAAGACCGTCCTGGTCAACATGGTGAAACCCCGTCTCTACCAAAAATACAAAAAATTAGCTGGGCATGGTGGCGCGTGCCTGTAATCCCAGCTACTCGGGAGGCTGAGGCAGGAGAATTGCCTGAACCCAGGAGGCGGAGGTTGCGGTGAGCCGAGATCGCGCCATTGCACTCCAGCCTGGGTAACAAGAGCGAAACTCCGTCTCAAAAAAAAAAAAAAAAAAAAAAAAAAAAAGCCTCCAGTGGAATCTTCTTATTTTTTTGAGACAGAGTTTAGCTCTTTCGCCCAGGCTGGAGTGCAGTGGTGAGATCTCGGCTCATTGCAACCTCCATCTCGTGGGTTCAGGTGATTCTTCTGCTTCAGCCTCCTGAGTAGCTGGGACTACAGGCGTTCGCTATCACACCCGGCTAATTTTTGTATTTTTAGCGGAGACAGGGTTTCGCCATGTTGGCCAGGCTGGTCTCGAACTCTCGACCTCAGGTGATCCGCCTGCCTCTGCCTCCCAAAGTGCTGGGATTATAGGCATGAGCCACCACACCCAGCCGACAAATGACTCTTTTGTGTTCTGTACCCAAGGGGAACTGATTCCTCAACTCATCCTCCATCACCCCTCAGCGTTGGTCCACCATTGGTCCTTGCCATCCTGGAGCTTCCATTCTGTTTCAAGTATGAGGAATCTGAGCCTAAAGAAGCACAGAGCCTGCACTCCTGTCACATGGGTGCTAGTGGCAGACCTGGAACTAGAAGGCAGGTATCCCAGACTCCCTGCCCAGTGCTTGTTTCACTGGGTCATTCTGTTGCAGGAGGGGTGGCCATTGCAGCCATCTCTGTTTCCCATGTCTCTAAACCCTGAACCTGAGACAGTGGCCCCTGCTATGCCATTTATAGTCTGAGCATAGGGCTGGGCCCAGAGGAGGCCCCCAGCAAATTGTTGAATGTTGAAAGGAATGAAAGAAAATGCCCTCCAGACATTTCAGAAGCCAGCTCACCATTCCTGGAGGTGGGAGTGTAGTCAGTCTGGTGGCAGATTGACTACATTGGACCCTTTCCACCATGGGGAGGGGACATCAATTTTGTCCTCATTGGAACAGACTCTTATTCTAGATATGGATTTGCCATCTCTTCCCAAAATACTTCTGCCAGTGCAACCATCTGTGTTCATGGAATACCTCACTCACTGTCATGGTATTCTACATAATATAGCTTCTGACCAGGGAACTTATCTCACAGCAATGTAAGTTCCACAATGGGTCTGTGCTCATGGGGATTCCCTGGTCTTACCACACTCTATAACCCAGAAACAGTGGCCTGATGGAACAGTGGGCTGGCTGTTGAAGACTTGGCTATAGTACCAGTTTTCCTGGAATGCTGGGGTTCTATCTTTTTTTTTTTTTTTTTTTTTTTTGAGACAGAGTCTCACTCTGTTGCCCAGGTTGAAGTGCAGTGGCGTGATCTTGGCTCACTGCGAACTTTGCCTCCCAGGTTCAAGCGATTCTTCTGCTTCAGCCTCCTAAGTAGCTGGGATCACAGGTGCCTGCCAACACACCTGGCTAATTTTTGTATTTTTAGTAGAGATGGGGTTTCACCATGTCGGCCAGGCTGGTCTTGAATTCCTGACTTCAGGTGATCTGCCCCTCGGCCTTGGCCTACCAAAGTGCTGGGATTCAGATGTGAGCCACTGTTCCCGGCCTGGGGTTCTATCTTACAGGATGCTGTATATGCTTGGAACCTGTGACTGTTTCTCCCATAGAAACCAAGGGGTGAAAATGGGAGGGGCTCCTCTCGCTGCTACATTCCTTACTTCACTTGCAGAATTGTTTGCTTCTGCCTGTGCAATGTTGAGCTCTGCTAGTTTGAAGACCTTAGTTCTGAGGGAGGAAAGCTTCCATCAGGGGACATAATAATGTCTGCCACTTGGCCATGTTGGGTTCCTCATGCATTTGAGGAAAATTAATAAAAGTAGACAGGGTCTTCCTCTGTCACCCAGGCTGGAGTGTGCAGTGGTGTGATCACAGCTCACTGCAGCCTTAACCTCCCAGGCTCAATTGATATTCCTGCTTCAGCCTCCCAAGTAGCTGAGACTACAGGTGCTTGTCACCATGTCTGGCTAGTTTTTGCATTTTTTGTAGAGACAGGGTTTTGCCATGTTTCCCAAGCTGGTCTTGAACTCTTGGGTTCAAGTGATCTGCCTGCCTGAGTCTCCCAAATTGCTGGGACTGCAGGTGTGAGCCACTATGCTTGGCCATTTCTTTTCACCTTCTTTCTTTCTTTTTTGAGATAAAGTCTCGCTCTATTTCCCAGGCTGGAGTGCAGTGGCATGATCTCGGCTCACTGCTTTCTGGGTTCGAGCAATTCTCTTGCCTCAGCCTCCCAAGTAACTGGGATTACAGGCGCACACCACCATACCCAGCTAATTTTGTATTTTTAGTAGAGATGGGGCTTCACCATGTTGGCCAGACTGGTCTCGAACTTCTGACCTCAAGTGATCCATCTGTCTTGGCCTCCCAAAGTGCTGGGATTATAGCTATGAGCCACTGTACCTGGCCCTTTTTTTACTTTCTTATCGTGGCTCCAGAAAATGTGGGATTACCTATGACATTTTAATAGATAGTATATGTATATGGCACCAAATTCAAAAGGCATGAGACTAGCAGAATGGAAGAAAATATTTGCAAACCATATATATGATAAGGGAGTGGTGTCTAGAATATATAAAGGACTCCTCTTATTTTTATTTTATTTTTTTTGAGACAGTGTCTTGCTCTGTTTCCCAGGCTGGTGTGCAGTGGCGTGATCACGGCTCACTGCAGCCTCAACCTCCTGGGCTCAAGCAATCCTCCCACCTCAGCCTCCCCATTAGCTGGCACTACAGGTGTGCACCACCACGCCTAGTTAATTTTTAAAATTTTTTTGCAGAGATGGTATCTCTCTATGTTACCTGCTGGTCTTGAGCTCCTGGGCTCAAGCCATCCTCCTGCCTCAGCTTCCCAAAGTGTTAGGATTACAAGCATGAGCCACTGAGCTTGGCCAAGAATTCTTACAACTCAACAATAAAAAGCAAATAACCCAATTAAAAAATAGGCAAGGATCTGAACAGATGTTACTTCAAATAAGATGTACAAATGGCCAGTAAGTGTATGAAAAGATGTTCTGCTGCTTGAATCCAAAGAGTGCTAGTTCATGTCCTATCCAGGAGACAATTCCCCTACCTTGACTTTCCCGTGTCATTCAAGCCCCAGCTTAAAGGATACCACCTGCTAGAAGCCTTCTCTCTCTAGGCAGAGCTCTTGACTCCACTAGCTGAATTCTCACAGCAGTGTGAAAGCATCTCTTCCGAGCCCTGGGCCCTTGCATGGTGTTTATGTGACTGCCTTCCTCAGAGATGGTGAGAGCTCCTGCAGGGAAGGGATCAGGTCCTATTCACCCTTGCATCTCTCTGGCTTAGCAGGGTGCCTGTAACACAGCAAAGACTCAGTGTCTGGCTGGCTGGCAGGAAGGACAGCTGTCTCTATTTTTAATATTTTTAGAGACAGGGTCTCACCCAGGCTGGAGTGTAGTGGTGCGATGACAGCTCACTATAACGTTGAACTCCCAGAGCCGAGGCAATCCTCCCACCTCAGCCTCCAGAGTAGCTGGGATTACAGGCAAGTAGCTGGGATTACAGGCACTTGCCACCATGCCTGGTTGCCACCTCTATTTTGGGCCAAGAGTAGGAGTTTGTCGCAGGAAGTAAAGACTGATTAGGTGAAGACCACGGCTCAGAAAGGTTAGGGAACTGCGCAGAGAGTTCTGGAACTGTGGCTGCTGCCATCTTACTAGAAAGATGAAACTGCTCTCCAAACCTGAAAACTCATCTATCTGGCTTGTAGATTTTTTGATATTCTAGGTTCCTGGCTGAATGGGAGGCCCATGAGTCACTGTGGGGAGGCAGAAGCTCTGAGGAGAGGCAAGGCAGAGTTCCTAGGTTTCGCTCAAAAGGAAATTCTTTGAGCCCTGAAGGGGGATGTGCTTGGCACAGGAAGGAGCACCTGCTGGCTCTTCCCTCTCTGGCTCTGGTGGGTTGTTTCTGGAAACCCTCGGGTCCTAAGGAAGCCCTTTCTCAGTGCCCCATTGGCTGAGGGCTGATGTGGGAGATGAAGGATGGCCGGTGGCCCTGCTCCATGAACCCACACTGGGCCTGCCCTGGGAAGCCAGCAGGGGTTGCTGGGCTCACCACCTCTGGTCTCTACAACCTTTAACCGATGGCCACTCACGAGTGGCCACTGGGTGTGTGGGAGAGATTTCCACAGAAAGCGTTTCTGTGGCTGCCTCCTTTCATTAAAGGAACCTGGAATTTAAGGGTTAGCTCCTTGGGGTGAGCCTCTTGTAGAAATCCATCTCTTGTAACACCCAGTGTTGGCCAGGGTACAGTGAGATGGGGACCCTCACACCTGCTTAGGGTGGGGTGGGGGTGCTTTTCTGGGTAGTTTGGTAATAAATATCAAGCCTCAGACATTTCCCCTTATGTGATCATTCATTTTTTAGGTGTGATGTGGTTATGTTAACAACAGTCCTTTTGTTGTAGAGATATGTACTGAAATATCTATGGGTGAACTACACAGCGTCTGGGAGGATTTGTTTCAGTATCATACATTTGGGGTGAGGGGTGTGGGTGAGTATAACTGAGAAAAGGTTGGCTGTGGGTTGGCCGTTATTGATGCTACTGGATGAGGGGTTCAGGGGTTCATGGTACTGTTCTCTCTACATTTATTCATTTTTTAAAATTCTGTAAGTAAAAAGTTAAATGATAAAGTCCCCTTTGACTTGGCATTTCTGGTGTGATGACATCAGTCCAAGTCCCCAGCAACACTCACCACACTTCCCTGTTTTCATTCCCATCCCTCCTTGGTTCAGAGGGCTCATGCCCCGTCTGCATCCACGCTCACAGCCCTGGGCTCTCTAGGGTCCTCCTGCCCCCAGGCTTCCAGGTGCCAGAGCCTGTGGGTGCCCCTGACCTCAGCATCAGGGAAGCTCTCCCTCCACCCCAAACCCCTCGCCTGGATGGTGACTACTCATTCATCTGATATCACGTTGGTGTCATCTCAGGGGAGCTGCTAACTCCCAGGCAAAGTCACACTTCTCTTATACTCTCCATCCTGCAGGGATGGGTCCTTCATAGCTCTCACTACTATTTGTAATAATAGTAATTTTTTTTTTTTGAGACAGAGTTTTGCTCTTGTTCTCCAGGCGGGAGTGCAATGGTGCGATCTTGGCTCACTGCAGCCTCTGCCTCCCGGTTCAAGTAATTCTCCTGCCTCAGCTTCCTGAGTAGCTAGGATTACAGGCACGCGCCACCATGGACAGATAATTTTGTATTTTCAGTAGAGATGAGGTTTCACCATGTTGGTCAGGCTGGTCTTGTACTCCTGACCTCAGGTGATCCACCCGCCTTGGCCTTCCAAAGTGCTGCATTACAGGTGTGAGCCACTGCACCCAGCTACTCTTTTTTTAATTAATTGTTTTTTTGAGACAGGGTCTCATTCTGTCCAGGCTGGAGTGCAGTGTCACGAACACAGCTCACTGCAGCCTTGATCCCCCAGGATCAAGTGGTCCTCCCACCTTAGCCTCCTAAGTAGCTGGGACTACATATACATGACACCATGCCTGGCTAATTTTAATATTTTTAGTCGAGATGGTGTTTCACATGTTGCCCAGGCTGGTCTTGACTCCTGGGCTCAGGTAATCCGATTGCTTCAGCCTCCCAAAGTGGTGGGATTATAGGAGTGAGCCACCACACCCTGACATGATCAACCCTTGTGATTGCTTTTGTTTCATTGCTGTCTGCCTTCCGTACTAGACCATGAACTCTCCAAGGGCAGACTGTGTCTGTGTGGCTCACCACTGCATCCCAGAGCCACACACAGAGCCTGGCACATCGTAAATTAATGCAGAAGGAAGCATGTGTTTAACAAACATATATCATGTTCTGGGCAAATTCTATGCATATGCTTGGCTGGCTGAGAACATACCGTCGGAAATGCTAGGCAGGGGCCAGATCATAAGGGCCTGTGGCAACATTAGGGGACTGGTCGGATGGTGCAGATCCAGGGAGCCATTGATGGTGCTCACATGGAGGAGTGACATGTGCTCCAGGCAGCCTCTCTGGCTGCCTCAAGTTGTAAGGGAGACCCTGGAGGCTGGATGGCCAGATGGGCTGGCACCAGGGTCTTGATTAGGGCCATGGGGCTTGAACTGAGGCCAGGACAGTGGTGATGGGGATGGGAACGGAGCCAGTGTTTGCGGCAGTGATCCAATGCGGCAGCTTCTTGGCCCTTCTTCCCTGAAGACACAGTGCCTCTGCTCAAGAGAGATGAGAAGGAGCTGCATAGGGCCCTGCTGGGAACAGGATGTGTTCCACAGACACATCCCTGGATCACAAAGAGCTTTGCAAACAGTCACAACAGCACGGTGCCTTGGGGCAGGGTAGAGGCAGGACCCTTTTCCCTGAGGCCAGGGAGTTGAGGCTCATGATGGTAGAGCCTGGCAATGGTGAAAGTCAAGTCACTTGTTCTGCAGTGCATTCAGGACTTGATGCAGAGCCAGCAGAAGGAGCCTGGGAGAGCCTGGAGCCTAAGAAGCCACTGGGGCCTCTGCAGGCTTCCCGGGTGGGGCATCAGCTGGAGCTCAGGAGAGGCTGCTCCCAATAAGTGGCCGTGTCGTGAGCTGGGTGTGTGCTGCCCACCAGCACTGCACTTCCCTGGACCTGCTGTACTGCTGCTGCCCCAGTGCATGCGCCACACTTGCTCTCTGTCCCCTAGGAAGCCTGTAATTGGCTGCAGCTACCCTCCTTGCAGGAAGTGGCTGTGGGGAGGCCAGAGGGTTGGAAAGATGCCAAGTAAAAACCTGTAAGATAGCTATGTAGACTGAATGCTAACTCATGCCAAGCCCAGTGTTGGGCTCTTTAAATGTTACTCCTTTGACCTGAGCTAGGTCTCCTTTCCCTCTCTCCTGGGGAACTCTGTACCTTTAGAACGTGTCTCACAGTTGTAATAGAGATAATCATTCATGTGTTTATTTATGTAATGTCTGTCTTTCTCGACAGACTGTTAACTCCATGAGAGCAGGGATTGGGTCTCTTTGTCCTCTATTATAGCTTCAACACCTAACACACTGCCTGGTACAGAGTTGGCTGCAATAAGTATTCATTAAATCGATGAATGATTCCCCCCAACAACCCAATGAAGTAGGTACGATTATTATTCTTGTTTAAGGATAAGCAAACTCAATCTTAGAGAGTTTGAATAGTCCAAGCCACAGACCAGGAAGTAGCACCCAGAATTCACACTCACATGATTAGCCCAAGACGGGGGTGTGTGGCCCATGGTTGATAAAACTCGAGCTGGGGAAAGTGAGACTACTGTCCTTTTTGTCCCTTGGCTGTTGGGATGTGAGACCTGGGTTGCTGGTGGCCATGCTTCTGGCCTAGTGGGGCAGCTGGCCTGAGAATGTGGAGCATACAATGATGTGAAAGAGACAGAGGTGGAGACAGAGAGGTGGAGAGAGAGAGACAGAGAGAGACTGATTCTGAGTTCCTGGATACCCTGTGGTTTGGGCTGGCCTGGTTCCCCTTCCTTGCACTTGTAGCAGAGAGTTCCAAAGGGCATAGTGATGAAACCCATCGCCACCATTGGTGTAGTGGAAAGAGAATGCCCTGGGCTTCAGCTCCAGCTCCACTGGACACAGAGCGAGTGTCTGTTGATCTCTGGGTCTCAGCTTCCTCAGCTATAAAATGAGGTCAAGACTTCCACTCCTAAAAGGAGAGTGGAAATAATGAGAGAGTACGAAGGTCTGTGACTCGTGCCTGCTAGCCAGCAGTTGCTCAGGAAGTGTGAGCTGCCCCTGGTAGGTGGCTTTTGGTCTGCAAGTAATAGAAAACTCATCCAGGACCAGCATAAACAATGAGAGCTTTCAGCTGGGCATAGTGGCTCACACCTGTAATCCCAGCACTTTGGGAGGCTGAGGTGGGTGGATTGCCTGAGGTCAGGAGTTCAAGACCAGCCTGGCCAACATAGTGAAACCCTATCTCTACTAAAAATACAAAAAATTAGCTGGGCATGGTGGTGGGCACCTGTAATCCCAGCTACTAGGGAGGCTGAAGCAGGAGAATTGCTAGAACCTGGGAGGCAGAGGTTGCAGTGAGCCGAGATCTCACCGTTGTACTCCAGCCTGGGCAACAAGAGCAAAACTCTGTCTCAAAACAAAAAAACACAAGAAACAATGAGGGCTTTCATCCTCTCAGGCCACAAGAAGATCAGGTTAGGGCATGTCCAAGGCGGTGAATTCAGAAGCTCAGCATTGTCACCAATAACCCAGGTTCTTTCTTTCAGCCTTGCCATTCTTATAGTGGCATCATTTCCCTCAAGGTGACAAAATTGCTGCCACAGCTCCAGGCATCACACAATGTTGGCCTGAGCAGGAGGTGTTTCTTCTTCATGTCCCTTTGTAAGGGTGAGGAAAACCTTTCCAGCAGCTCCCAATAGATGCCGCCTCAAGTTTTATTGTCTGGGACTCTCATCATCTAAGCCAGTCATGGTGTTCTCTCCCCCTGTAAATGCTAGCATCGGTGTAGTGGAAGCAGGATGGCCTGGGCTTCAGCTCTAGCTTCACTGGGCACTCAGTGTGTGACAGCACGAGTCCTCTCATCTGACTGGATAGACAGTGGCAGTACTCAGAGAGAAATACTCAGAGAGAAATTCGGGTACTTTTATAGTAACAACTTCTTTGCATTTCTTTGTAATTTCACTCAAGAGTGTCCTCTTTTTTTTTTTTTTTTTTTTCCTGAGATGGAGTCTTGCTCTTGTTGCCCAGGTATCTGGACTACAATGGCACAGTCTTGGCTCACTGCAACCTCTGCCTCCTGGGTTCAAGCAATTCTCCTGTCTCAGCCTCCTGAGTAGCTGGGATTACTACTTAGATATGCGCCATCATGCCTGGCTAGTTATTGTATTTTTAGTAGAGACAGGGTTTTGCCATGTTGGCCAGGCTGGTCTCGAACTCCTGACCTTATGATCTGCCCATCTCAGCCTTCCAAAGTGTTGGGATTACAGGCGTGAGCCACCGTGCTTGGTGCAAAGGACAAGTTTTTGAAGGAAATTAAAAGTGCTCCTCCAGTGAACACACAAATGATAAGAAAGAAGAATAGCTTTATTGCTGATGTGGAGAAAGTTTGAGTGATAAGGATAGAAGATCAAACCAGCCACGACACTCCCTTTAGCCAAAGCCTAATCCGGAGCAAGGCCCTAACTCTCTTCAATTCTCTGAAGGATGAAAGAGGTGAGGAAGCTGCAGAAGAAATGTGGGAAACTAGCAGACTTTGGTTTATGAGGTTTAAGGAAAGAAGCCTTCTCCATAGCATCAAAGTGCAAGGTGAAGCAGCAGGTGCTGATAGAGAAGCTGCAGAACGCTATCCAGAAGATCTAGCTGGAAAATTGATGAAGGTGGCTACAGTAAACAACAGGCTTTCAGTGTAGACAAAACAATGTTCCTTTGGAAGGGGATGCCATCTAGGACTTTCATAGCTAGAGAGCAGAAATCAATGCCTGGCTTCAAAGCTGCAAAGGACAGGCTGCTTCTCTCATTAGGGACTAATGCAGCTGGCATTTTTAAGTTGAAGCCAATGCTTATAGATCATTCTGAAAATCCGAGGGCCCTTAAGAACTATGCTAAATCTACTCTCCCTGGGCTATATATATGGAATAACAAAGCCTGGATAACAGCACATCTGTTTACAGAAAGTTTTACTGAATATTTTAAAACCAGTATTAAGACCTACTGCTCAGAAAAAAGATTCCTTTCAAAATATTACTGCTCATTGACAATCTACCTAGTCACCCAAGAGCTTGATGGAGATGTGCAAAGAAATGAATGTTATTTTCATGCCTGACAACACAATATTCATTCTGCAGCCCATAGATCAAGGGGTAATTTTGACTTTCAAGTATTATTATTTAAGAAATACATTTTGTAAGGCTATAGCTGCCATAGACAGTGATTCCTCTGAGAGATCTCAGCAAAGTACATGGAAAACCTTTAGAAAGGATCCACCATTCTAGATGCCATTAAGAATATTTTTGATTCATGAGAGGAGGTCAAAATAGCAACATTAACAGGTGTTTAGAAGAAGTTGATTCCAACCCTCATGGATGACTTTGAGGAGTTTAAGACCTCAGTGGAGGAAGGAACTGCAGATGTGGAAATAGCAAGAGAACAAGAACGAGAAGCAAAGCCTGCAGATGTGGCTGAATTGCTGCAATTGCATGATGTAACTTGAATGGATAAGGAGTTGCGTCTTATGGCTGAGCAAAAAGGGCTTTCTTGAGATGGATTCTCCTTCTGGAGAGGAGTTTGTGAACATCATTGAAATGACAGCAAAGGATTTAGAATATTTCATTAACTTAGTTGATAAAGCAGTAGCAGGGTTTGAGAGAGGATTCACTCCAATTTTGAAAGATGCTCTATTGTGAGTAAAATGCCATCAAACAGCATCAAAATCTTTTTTTTTTTTTTAAGACAGGGTCTTGTTTTGACACCCAGGCTGAGGTGCAGTGCTGCAGTGGTGCAATCACGGCTCACTGCAGCCTTGACCTCCCAGGTTCAGTTGATTTTCTGACCTCAGCCTCCCAAGTAGCTGGAACTAGAGGTGCACACCACCATGCCTGGCCAACTTTATTTTTTGTAGAGATGAGGTTTCTCTGTTGTCCAGGCTAGTCTTGAACTCCTGGCCTCAAGAATTCCTCCTTCCTCCACTGCCAAAGAACTGGGATTGAGCCACCAAAATCTTTTCATGAAAGGAAGAGTCAATCAATGGGGCAAATTTCACTGTTGTCTTATTTTAAGAAATTGCCACACCCACCCAACCTTCAGCAACTACTAGCCAGATCAGTCAGCAGCCATCAACATCAAGGTAAGACCCTTCACACTTCACCAGCAAAAACATTATGACTTGCTGAAAGCTTGCTCAGATGATTGTTAACATTTTTTAGCAATAAAAATTTTTTTTTTTTAGGATGGGTTCTCATTCTGTTGCCTAGGTTAGAGTGCAATGATGCAATCACAGCTCACTGCAGCCTTAAAGTCCTGGACTCAAGCAATCCCCTGGCCTTGACCTCCCAAGTAGCTGGGACTATAGACCCATGTCACCACACTCAGCTAATTTTTAAAATTTTTATTTATTTTATGTATTACTTGTTTAGGGGCTAGGTCTCATTACATTGCACAGACTGGTCTTGAACTTCTGGCCTCAAGCAGTCCTCCAGAGTAGTTGGGATTACAGGCTTGAGCCATTGCACCCAGTGATAAAGTTCTTTTTTTTTTTTTGAGATAGAGTCTTGCTCTATTGTCCAGGCTAGAGTGCAGAGGCATGATCTCAGCTCACTGCAACCTCCACCTCCTGGGTTCAAGCAATTCTTCTGCCTCAGCTTCCCAAGTAGCTGGCATTATAGGCGCTTGCCACCATGCCGGGCTAATTTTTGCATTTTTAGTAGAGACGGGGTTTCATCATGTTGGCCAGGGTGGTCTTGATCTCTTGATTTCATGATCTGCCCACTTCGGCCTCCCAAAGTGCTGGGATTATAGGCATGAGCCACCGTACCCGGCCAACATAACTTTTATATGCACTGGGAAACCAACAAATTCATGTAACTCACTTGATTACAATATTCTTTTTATTGTGGTTGTCTGGAACTGAACCCATGATATCTCTGCAATATGTCTGTATTTCCAATAAATTGGTAGCTAGATTCAGAGACTTGATCAAATTCAGGTTTTGATTTTTTTGACAACTGTAGGTGATGGTGTGTTCTTTCCTCAAGAGGTCACATAATGTGTGTGTGTGTGTGTGTGTGTGTGTGTGTGTGTGTGTGTGTGTCATGTGTAAAGGGAGTGATGTTAACAGCTGCTGATACTCAGTGCCTAGATTCATTCATTAATCTGTGGGTACAAAATGGTGTTACTCTAATTTGATCATTCCTTTTTCATTATTTAGCTGTAGCATCTTTCTTAGCAGTCAGTAGGGAGAAACCAAACTATAACCAGTGCAATACTGCTTTTGTGTGTTTTATTTTATTTATTTTTTGAGACAAGGTCTTCCTCTGTTGCCCAGGCTGGCATGCAGTGCCATGATCATAGCTCACTGTAGCCTTGAACTCCTGGGCTCACGCAATCCTCCTGCCCTAGCCTCCAGAGTAGCTAGGACTACAGGTGCATGCTTATTTACTTATACGTTTTTTTGGCAGGGTCTTGCTATTTGCCCTTGCTGGTCTTGAATTCCTGGACTCAAGGGATCCTCCTGCCTCAGCTTTCCAAAGGCTGGGTTACAGGTGTGAGCCATCATGCCCAGCTTCTTTGGTGTGTTTTATGTACTTATTTATTGTTTTGAGGTGGAGTCTCCCTCTGTTGCCCAGGCTAGAGTGCAGTGGCACAATCTCAGCTCAGTGCAGCCTCTGCCTCCTAAGTTCAAGTAATTCTCCTGCCTCAGCCTCCCAAGTAGCTGAGATTACAGGCACCTGTCACCATGCCTGGCTAATTTTTGTGTTTTTAATAGAGACAGGGTTTCACCATGTTGTCCAGGCTGGTCTCGAACTTCTGACCTCAAATGATTTGCCCACCTTGGCCTCCCAAAGTGCTGAGATTATGGGCGTGAGCCACCGTGCCCAGCCCATTTTCCTTTTTTTGAAACAGAGTCTTTCTCTGTTGCCCAGGCTGGAGTGCAGTGGTGTGATTCTGGCTCACTGCAACCTCCACCTCCTGGGTTCAAGTGATTCTCATGTCTCAGTCTCCCAAGTAGCTGGGATTACAGATGCGGCAACATGCCCAGATAATTTTTGTATTTTTAGTAGAGATGGGGGTTCACCATGTTGGCCAGGCTGGCCTCAAACTCCTGACCTCAAGTGATCCACCCTCTTCTGCCTCCCAAAGTGCTGGGATTACAGATGTGAGCCACTGTGCCCAGCCAGTTCTCTTATTTTAAAATGAGGTGGGGGTTGGGTTGGGGAGGATAATTCCCACCCTGTCCAGCTCTCATGATGGTGTGATAGTGAAGTGGAAGATTTTGTACGCTGTGCAGGAGGAACCCCACAGGAAGTGTTATTATCCCTGATAGGACGCAGCACCTTGGTGACTGTTGGGGAACAGGCTGGGCTTCAGGTGCCAGAGGACCTTGGGTAAATCAAGAGGTGCCAGTCCCTGCAGTCCAGCCTCAACTTCTCTTCTCTCTCCTCAGTCGGGAAAAAACAATTCATTTCACTTGGTAGAAAATGTGCCCAGTCAAACTGGAGCCTTTTCTGGGTCCCATGCTTACCAGTGTGCTGCGTTAATCTGCCAGCCCTCTGTCAAGGGCCTTCCTCCTGTGGTGTGCCCCTCCCGCTGTCACTCTCCAGCAACCAGGTGTGCTCTTCAGAAGCCACTTCCTCCTGGGAACTGAACCTGGACTTTGGAGAAGCGGCCACGAGTCCATAGTGGGAGCCAGGCATCCTCAGAGTGGGGCTGAACAAACTGAAGATGATAATTAATAATTAAGATGGTTAGATGATTAATTAATTATCTTAATCAACATACTTGTGTATACATGAGGGAAAGCTAATAGGTTTGCCTCAAAGCACAGCTGGCTGGAGCACTGGATTGAGATGGCTCTGAAACTGAGCTCAAAGGAAAGGAGCGTGGTGATTAATTAGCGTCTGCTGCCAACCGGGGAGGGGAGAATGGTAGCTTGCCCACCATGCACTTGTCATCCTGATCGAAACAATTTCTTCCTGTTTCCTATTGAGGCGTAACCTTCATAAAGTGCATTGATTTTAAGTGTATAAGTTGAGGTATGTTTACGTATTTATGCTTAAATGTGTATATGTGTATAAATGTTTATACACATATGCACACATTACCACCACTGAGATCAAAATACAGACCATTTCCAGAGGCCCAAAATGTCCCCTTGTGCCTGTTTCGAGTTACTGTTGTCTCAAAGGCAGCCAGTATTTTGACTTCTATCACTATAGATTAGATTTGCTTGTGTTCTATTTCATATAAGTTGAATTAAACAATATATATTCCTCTCTCTGGCTTCCTCCACTCAGTTGAATGCTTGTGCAGTTCGTTAATGTTGTTGAACGGTTTGTTCTTGCTCATTATTCCATTGCGTAGCTACACCTCAATTTGTTTGTCTAGTCTCCTGTTGCAGTTGTTTCCAGTCTGAGCTATTATGAATGAGGCTGCCGTAAATATCCTTCTACATGTCTTTTGGTGGACTTAACTGCTCATTTCTGTTGTGTGTACATATATCTATATCTATACATCTATATTTATATGTACATATATAAATCTCTCTCTCTCTCTCTCTCTCCCTCCCCCCTGCCTCCAGGAGAGAGAGAGAGTGCAGAGTCACAGGGTAGATAAATGTTTAGCTCCTGGAGTAACTGAGTTTGACTCACCAAGCCCTGAACTCATCAAATGTGAACAGTTTCCATTACATGTCAAACAATATGCTGGGCTCCAGGTATACACAGACCCGTTAAACTCAGACTCTGATTCTGAGATATGATATCAACTTAGAGCAAGACTTAAAGAAAAGCAAACACCTAATACAACCAGGCAGCTCAGTCTCTAACCTTTCCCTATTTTCTTCCTTTCTTCCTCCCTTTCTCCCTTTCTTTCTCTCCTCCTTCCCTTCCTTCCTTCCCTCCCTCCCTCCCTCCTTCCTTTCTTCCCTTTCTTCCTTCCTTCCCTTCCTTCCCTCCCTCCCTCCCTCCCTCCCTCCCTCCCTCCCTCCCTCCTTCCTTCCTTCCTTCCTTCCCTTTCTTTCTTTTCTTTCCAGGGTCTTTGTCACCCAGGCTGGACTGCAGTGGTGAGATTTCAGCTCCCTGAAGTCTTGACCTCCCAGCCTCAGGTGATTCTCCCACCTCAGCCTCCCGAGTAGCTAGGACTACAGGTATGTACACACCCAGCTAATTTTTGCATTTTTTGCAGAGATATGGTTTCACCATGTTACCCAGGCTGGTCTAGAACTCCTGGGCTCAAGTGATCCACCTGCCTCAGCCTCCCAAGGTGCTGGGATTACTGACATGAGCTGTCATGCCCGGTCTCCATATTTTCAATTACTTAATTGAACTTTGGTTTCCTGCAGGCTCTAATAAATCTTGAATTCCTCCCAATTCTTTCTAGACTTTCCAGAGGTTTGTTTAGGCTTGTTTTGCCAGATATCACATCTTTAGCTTTCTTTGGTTGTCCTAGAGCAGTTTTATCTGTATTGGCTTGGAAGAGGTTTGGGGACACATCCCCAGTCCAGTGATCAGTTCTCTATGCCTAGAAATTGTTTTTTCCAATCAGAAGAAAATAAACTTCTCCAAGAATGACCTGTTTTAACCTGGGCGTTTTGAAATAATAGCTGCTATATGTATAGCCTGTATTGAATACTTATATTTGTCCATGAAATACTTCTGGCTGTAGAAGACTCCTGACTTGTAAATTTGCTTTTGATTTTAACAAGGATCACACATCTTGTTTCAGCAATATAGGGCTTTGTTCATGGTGGATGCACAATAAATATTTATTGAATGAACTTAATGAAAATCATTTAAGAAAACATTACATCGACTGTAACTAGAGGCAATGGAAAGTTCCTTGCAGTTCTAAGGTTTTAAGGCAAAGCCCTCAGGATATCTTCGCCATCAGCCTTTGGGAAGGAGCGGGGAGATGGAGAAGGGAGGGAGGGAGTGGCTCTTTCCTTCACAGCAGACAGGAGTGGAGCTGCGTGGGCAGCCGTCTGGGGTCCCTGGGTTGGGTGTATTCATCCAGCCTCCAGCTACTCTGGCTCTAAACAACTGTCAGTACTCTTGGATTTCTAAATTCTGTCTTTCCTCAAAGATGAAGGACTTGGGTTTTCTAGTCCCATCCCAGTTCGTTTCCGTTTCAAGCATTTATTGGGCACCTACTAGGTTCCAGTGACTGGGCTGGGGGCTAGATTGCACACATGAGTTGCACAGAACTCCATCACCCCGCTTACCGATTGAGACGAAGCGTCTACCTAGACGCGGGGTGATGGAGGGAAGGCCTTCGGCTCTCCATCAGTTCTGTGATCTTGGAGCAGCTACGTCTCCTCTAGGGGCGCTATTTCCTTACCTGTAAAATAGGGAGGTTGCAAGGTTTTCCGTCCGAAGTCGCGTCCAGCTGTCCTGGGCCGGGGCGCTATGCATCTGCCCCCCACCGAGGGACGCTGAGGACAGGGTGGCTGGACAACCGGACGGGCCTCAGGGTGGACAAACCCAGAGCTTCCCAGGGTGCGCCCCTCACAGATGGTGCCGGAAACCTCCTGGAGGGCCTCTGCGCCGCCCCCATTCCCGTTTGTCCCCGAGGCGCTGTTTTGATTGATTCAGCGGAGGCGCGCGGTTTCCGTCGCCCCTCTTAGCAAACGCGCCCACCCCCAAGCGGCGGTCCAGATGGCCCCGCCCCGCCCCCGCGCGTCCTCGCGGCCCCGGCCCCGCGCTCTGTCCCGCGGGAGTCCCGCCTAGCAGAGCTGCGCCGCCCCGCTGGGGAGCCAGTGTTCGCGAACCCAGCCAGGACTCCGGGTTCCGCGCCGCTGCCCCGACGCCGTGGGCCAGCTAGGGAATTTATGGAGGAGGAGGAGAAATCCTCCAAGGACCCAAACTGGCTTGGCGGAAGCCCAAACAGCCACCAAACGGTCGATTTAAAAAACTCATCCTGCTCTCCCTGGAAATCTCTCCAAGCCTTTCTCGCCTGGCCTACCTCGGCTCCCTGACCCAGCTTCAGTACTGCGACGGTTATTTTAAATCTGCCAGCTGTGTTGACGCCGTTGTCTGGCCTTTGCAGGTGCTAGGCCTGGGCACAACAGGGGGCTTTGCCACCCATCGGCTGCATAACCGAGCAGCAGTCGACGACTCCTCCCAGGCTCCGGTTTATCCTCTGTAAACAGAGGTAACAGCACCTCCCTTACAGCGTTACCTGCAGATCATTCCTATGTGACATCATTCCAGATGTGACATCAGCAGCACGCAGTTTTGTCATTGTGGAGGACAGTAAAAAGGTTCAGGGTGACATCTGACATCAGACTGCCTGGGATGAGATCCCCCGTCCCTGTCGGTGGGGCACGATGAACAGCCTTCTTAACTCTCTGGGCAGGAGTTGCTTAACGCTAGCGATCACCAGCAGCAGGAGACAAAGACCTATGGAGGACCCCTGTTCTGGACCACATCTCCCTTAGCTGAGCCATTACTTTTTATTTTTTATTGTGCTAATATATACATGTGACAAAATTTACCATTTAGCCATTTTAAGTGTACAATTAGTGGCATATAGTGCATTCATCATGTTGTGCAATCATCACTATTTATTTCCAATTTTTTTCTCACACATAACAGAAACTTTGAACCCATTCAAAGGTAACTTCCCATTCCCACCTCCCTCCAGTCCCTCGAAACCTCCAATCTACTCCCTGTCTGTATAAATTTGTCTGTTCTAAATATTTTCATACAAACTGTCATTTATTTTTTATTTTATTTTTCTGAGACGGAGTCTTGCTCTGTTGCCCAGGCTAGAGTGCAATGGCATGATCTTAGCTCACTGCAACCTCCACCTCCTGGGTTCAAGCGATTCTCCTGCCTCAGCCTCCCAAGTAGCTGGGATTACAGGCATATGCCAGATCACCTGGCTCATTTTGTACTTTTAGTAGAGACAGGGTTTCTCCATGCTTGTCAGGCTGGTCTTGAATTCCCAACCACCTGCCTCAGCCTCCCAAAGTGCTAGGATTACAGGCATGAGCCCTTGTGCCTGGCCTGGCTAATTTTTGTATTTCTGTATTTTTAGTAGAGACAGGTTTTCACCATGTTGACCAGGCTGGTCTTGAACTCCTGACCTCAGGTGATCCACCTGCCTTGGCCTCCCAAAGTGCTGGGATTACAGGCATAAGCCACTGCAACCTGCTCGTGGCTTATTTTTATTTTATTTTATTTTGACACAGAGTCTCGCTCTGTCACCTAGGCTGGGGTGCAATGGCACGCTCTTGGCTCACGACAACCTCTGCCTCCCAGGTTCAAGTGATTCTCCTGCCTCAGCTTCCCAAGTAGCTGGGATTACAGGTGGGTGCCACCACGCCTGGCTAATTTTTGTATTTTTAAGTAGAGACCGGGTTTCACTGTGTTGACCAGGCTGGTCTTGAACCCCTGACCTTGTGATCCGCCTGCCTTAGCCTCCCAAAGTGCTGGGATTACAGGAGTGAGCCACTGCGCCTGGCCTCGTCACTTATTTGTTTAAGCACCCTTTGCAGAGCTATAGCAGCTCTCTCAGTGCAGGAATGTAAAATTTGTATTTAGTATTTAGTGTGTTCACATAAAATCATTAAATTTGGTATGTGAAATTTAGTGGTAATTTTATTCAATCTATAATTTGGTAATTACATTATTTCTAAAATCATTTTTTGTAGCTCATTGTAGAAAATAGGGAAAATATAGAAGGGTATAAAATAAGAGGCTAAACATCATTGATAATTCCAATGATGTTAACATTTGGGTGGATTTTCTTTTAATTAGATTAGATTACTTTTAAATTCATTGAATGTTGGCTGTGAGCTGCTGAATCTGAGTTTTTGCCATTTTGAGAAGGACAACTGTATTTGAGATGAAAAGGCCACCCACAGTCTGTGAGGGAAAGGAAAGGTCTAAGAATATCTGGGTTTCATGTCAGTTACACAAGCAGACCCAGAACACACACATTTGCAGAAGGAGCTAAGGAAAAAGAAGATGAAGAAATCCTCTAAAATTACTTGCACATAATGTTTGTCAAATGGAACTTTCTCTAGACAGACCTGTTCCCTAAATAATCTCTATTACCACTTTTGTCTTTTTTTTTTTTTTTGAGACAGATTTTTGCTCTTGTTACCCAGGCTGGAGTGCAATGGCGTGATCTTGGCTCACCGCAACCTCCGCCTCCTAGGTTCAAGCAATTCTCCTGCCTCAGCCTCCCGAGTAGCTGAGATTACAGGCACGCGTCATCATGCCCAGCTAATTTTTTGTATTTTTAGTAGAGACGGGGTTTCACCGTGTTGACCAGGATGGTCTCGATCTCTTGACCTTGTGATCCACCTGCCTCGGCCTCCCAAAGTGCTGGGATTACAGGCTTGAGCCACCGTGCCCGGCCCACTTTTGGCTTTTTTAAAAAATGAACACACTAGCCACATGCCTGTACATGCAGCATAAGGCATGGTCTTCTTTCAATTTTAAAATTTATTATTATTATTACTTTTGAGACGGAGTTTTGCTCTTGTTGCCTAGGCTGAAGTGCAATGATGTAATCTCGGCTCACTGGAACCTCTACCTCCCAGGTTCAAGTGATTCTCTTGCCTAAACCTCCCAAATAGCTGGGATTACAGGTATGCGCCACCACACCCAGTTAATTTTGTATTTTTAGTAGAGAACAAGATTTCGCCATGTTGGCCAGGCTGGTCTTGAACTCCTGGCCTCAGGTGATTTGCCTGCCTTGGCCTCCCAAAGTGTTGGGATTACAGGTGTGAGACACCACACCCAACCAAATTTATTATTATTTATATTTTTACTTTTTTGAGAAAGGGTCTTGCTCTGTTGCCCTGGCTGGAATGCAGTGGTGCGATCACAGCTCACTGCAGCTTCAACTTCTTGGGCTCAAGCGATTCTCCCACCTCAACTTGCTGTAGCTGGTACTACAGGCACAAGCCACCATGCCTGGCTAATTTTGTATTTTTTGTAGAGACAGTGTTTCGCCATGTTGCCCAGGCTGGTCTTGAACTCTTAAGCTCAAGTGGTCTACCTGCCTTGGCCTCCCAAAGTGCTGGGATTATAGGTGTGAGCCACCACGCTCAGCCCATAAGGTACTTTATATGTATTATCCATTCAATCCTCACACTGGCCCCAGGAGGTAGATCTTAAATAAATGCATATTTTCCATCTCAGCTCTGCCACCTATGTGCTGTGTGACCTTGAGTGAGTGACTAAATGTCTTTGTGCTTCCAGTTCCTTCTAAGTTTCTTGGGCATATTAAATAATTTACTAGGTAAAGGTCTTGGAACACTACGAGTGCCTGGAATTTGTAGGTACAATGGGAGTGTTTGTTAGTTGGTAGGATTATTCTTTACAGACGAGGACCCCAAGATGCAGATGAATTAATGAGCTCCCTGATGCCACATTTTTGTCACCTTCTTGGACTTTGGAGAACTGAAGGCTGACTCAGATGGAGAAGCGTTTGGGTATATGACGGGCTTCTAAACAGGGTCCCTCCTTCCCACCTGCCATGGGAGGCAGCAGGGTCTGAGGCAGAAGACAGAGGAGAGAACATAGGTCCTATGTCATGCCTCGGCCTCAATCCACAGATGGCTTCCCAGTCCCCTTAGATGGGAGCAGAGTGCTGACCTAACCCACAATGAGGAAAGGCTTCTTGAGGAGTTGCTGCTTAAGCTGAGACCTGAAGGGTACAGAGAGCCAAGCCAGGCCGTTATGATGGGAAGACCATTCTAGCATAGGAACCGGCCTGCACCAAGAGCGTTATGTGCTTTATAAACTGTGAGAAGCTCATGTGGCTGAGGTCCCTTCCTCTCTGGCCAGCTTCAGGGCACTTGTCAGGGTCATGTCATTATCTATTTGCTTGACTGTCTTTCCCCAGCACACAGAACAGGTGTATGTATGTATGTGAGATGGAGTCTTGCTCTATCGCCCAGGCTGGTGTAATCTTGGCTCACTGCAACCTCTGCCTCCTGGGTTCAAGTGATTCTTCTGCCTCAGCCTCCTGAGCAGCTGGGACTACAGGCGCATGCCACTATTTTTAATAGAGATGGGGTTTCACCATATTGGCCAGGCTGGTCTTGAACCCCTGACCTCCTGATCTGCCCGCCTCAGCCTCCTAAAGTGCTGGAATTATAGACGTGAGCCACCATGCCTGGCCTACACAGAAAATGTTTTGAGGGCATGAAGTATTGTCAAAAGACTCTTCACATTTCTGTTTCTGGCCAAGATGATATAACGGGATAGTTTTACGCCTCCTGCCTTAAGCAACTGAAAAGCCAGAGAAAAAATGGAAACAACTGTTATGAGACACTAAATGATGGGTATCGTGGGGCAGCGATTTCTGAGAGAGGGGGAAACACGTGGGGCGAGCCCTGTAATTGCCTGGCTTACAGCCTGGAGAGAGTTTCTAGGCTATGGAGCAAGAGGAGGACCTAGGTGGAACCCGGCATCAATCTGAATTGAGGAGTCAGAGCTGAGGGTGCGGTGAGGCCAAGGTGGCTCAGGTTCCCACCAAAGACAGGAGAGGAAATTGCTACACAGAGAGACGAGTAGCTAGAGATCTGCAGATGGTTCTTCTTGCCGTGCCACCCTCTCCTCCCCCAGGCTTCAGCTGAGAACTGATCAGTGCCTGTGTGTAAACTGTCTGAAGCTGGGAAAGTTCCACCCAAAAGAAGCAGGCAGAACAACCCTTGGAGTTTCCACAGGGTTGTGATTAGCTGGCATTCCCACCAGCCAGAGCAGAAACCTCCTAACTCACAGGGCATTGGGGAGAGTATTCAGAAGGGTAGGGAAATCAGCCCTTGGCTAGTCACAGGCTAGTCCTAGTCCTGCCTGAGAAAGCTGAAAAGCAAGCCTCAAAAGGATCCAGCTGGCTCCAAGTCACTAGACTCTGTTCCAGGACAAAGCTCAAGAATATTTTTTCAAAATACAAGAATATCCAGCACCCAACAAGGTAAAATCCACAATGTCTGGCATGAAATCTGTAATTACTGGGATACAAAGTACAGTAGCTCTCCTCTATCCATGTTTCCACTCCCTATAGTTACTGGGATACAAAGTACAGTAGCTCTCCTCTATCCATGTTTCCACTCCTGTGGCTTTAGTTATCTGTGGTATAGTACAATAAGATATTTTAAGAGAGAGGGAGCTAGAGAGACTACATCCACATAACTTTTATTATGGTGATTGTTATAATTATTCTATTTTTATT